AAATTCATGACGTCTAGAGAGAGAAGTTGCGAGAGTCATTGATCCAATTAATTGCGAGCTCATGGATTCAGACAATGAACCAATGTCTAGAAGGAATTTAGACAAATAACCCACATTGAATTGAATCCGATAAACATAGTGTAATGGGGTGAAGCTAATGAGTTGGAGAGACGATGTTGGTTTGTATAAGGTAATATGAAAGTAATCCAGCTGAGGTAAATTCATGACGTCTAGAGAGAGAAGTTGCGAGAGTCATTGATCCAATTAATTGCGAGCTCATGGATTCAGACAATGAACCAATGTCTAGAAGGAATTTAGACAAATAACCCACATTGAATTGAATCCGATAAACATAGTGTAATGGGGTGAAGCTAATGAGTTGGAGAGACGATGTTGGTTTGTATAAGGTAATATGAAAGTAATCCAGCTGAGGTAAATTCATGACGTCTAGAGAGAGAAGTTGCGAGAGTCATTGATCCAATTAATTGCGAGCTCATGGATTCAGACAATGAACCAATGTCTAGAAGGAATTTAGACAAATAACCCACATTGAATTGAATCCGATAAACATAGTGTAATGGGGTGAAGCTAATGAGTTGGAGAGACGACGTTGGTTTGTCTAAGGTAATATGAAAGTAAAAATTACTATTACTTAACAAAGGAGGGGTCTTGTTAACCTCACTAAAGAAAGAAAGCAATTAATTAGCCACCAAGCTAACTTTTGAAAAGAACATAATTTCAATTTCTATCTAAAAGATGATGATTACAATGCTAAAAGTCAAGGCTATGCATAGAACTTATAATACCTGGGAGTTTGAAAAATCACTATAATACCAAAAAAAAAAAAAAATCATATTTTGGAGAAAAAAAGGGCATAAAATGAAAATGGGTTTTTTGTGCTTGCCAACTTTCATGAACTAAGGAATTTGTAACAGTTGCGTGAAAGCTTTCTTCTGATGCGTGTTTCAACTCGTGATGCATGCATTAAGATAATTGCCTTGATGCTTCCTTCTGTGGCCAATGGCTCCATCAAATGTTGCATGATTAAAGTGTGCTTCCAATTGGTTTCCGAGCAAGAAGCTTCCAAGCATCTAAGATGGGTATCCAAAGCAAGCTCCAAATGACCAAAATTCTGTTCATGTTGTTGGCCCAACCAAAGATTGCATGTCATGCAAAAAAAAATCATACAAAAGGTATTCGAGAGTGGCCGAACTCTTATACAATAATGTTTCTCTGTCAAAATACATAGAAATAAAGGAAGTACATGAAAACTAATAAATGTAAGAAAATAAGAAGAAATACATGAATGCTTTCTAATCATGGATCAGGTGAGATAGTTATATACAACTTGAATTGGTTTTGTTGCATAGTAGAAATATAGGGAACACTTTACCTACAAGGATCATCATCATAAGTATACTTAATCCAACTAATGTAAAATATAAATAAAATGAAATAAAAATAACTAAAAGTAACATCAAAACTTATGATGTCAATTTTCTTATCTCAATGCTCATATTCTATGGTCACGACGAGTACAGAATTTTTTGATTTGCATCAACTTTGATTGAGTTAAAAATTTTTACTAGGATCAATTATTCATTTGATATTTGCCAAGTAAATCTTGGCATAAATGTTGTGTTTCCTATAAAATATTCCCTAAATCTTCATTAGTAGATATACTATATCAATTTATAAGATACCTCTGATATTCATATCAATTGTTGACACAATCTCATCATTTCAAATAGCTTCTTAATCATGATGTCTAGAATTGTCCAATAAAGTGTTGAATGTGAATTCTCGAGGAGACAGAAGAATCTAAGGCATTGTTAATTGATTCATGAATATGGTCAAATCAATTACATTTAAAATTAAACTAATACCAATGTTGACATTTCCAATGCAGATAATTGTCGGCACTAAAAAAAAAAGGAGAGGAGAGGTTGGTTGGGGGTCAGCAGAGAAGAGAAAACAGCCAACAAGGCTCTCGGCCAAAGCCAGGGATAGGGACAGGAGGGGCTCACGACTAGAGCAAGGAACAGCTACCAAGACCCATAACCAAAGGCAATCTAAAAGACAACAAGGCTTATAGTTAAGGCAACAAAGGGCCCCGAAAAGAACTACTAAAGCTCACGGTTTAAGGCAGCAAAGAGCAGCTGCAACAGCCCACGACCGGAGGTCTTCCAAAGCACAAGGCCCACGACTACAGCAACCCAGAGCACAAAGGGGCTCACGACTAAGGCAAACAAAAGAACCACAAATGGCTACAACAACGCTCCCCTGACAAACACGGAAGGACAACTAAAGTAATCTTAATTTTTGGGATGACAAACTTACAAACTTGATTCATCCACAA